GGTGGCCATATATAACGCCGATCTGAATCCCAAACTGTCGCAGCTATACATAGACTCTATAGATAAGGAATACCTGCGGCTAACGGAATACCCCGATAACGCCAGCGCTTTTGAGTCGGTGGTTAAGGGCAAGAACTACCTCTCTATTAATTTTGCCGAGAATTTCTCCGATTCCTTTGAGACCCGGCTTACTGACGTATTTGACTTGAGTGACCTGGAGGTCAATGACAGTTTGATCAAGATCTATATTGATTTCTCAGGTACAGTACAGGGATAAAAACATACAAAAATAAATATACGGCACTACAAAATATAAAAACTGTAAATGGACAATTTATATGTACTTCACCTCCAGATGCCGCTATCGGCGCCTTTCTGGTCAAATACTTGGTGCAGGCGTTTGGCACGTTTCTGGACAGATTGAGCTCAATAATGGGGGGTCGGGACCTGTATCGGGTGCTGTCACCCCTGCAAATACAGGAAGCCGTGTACGGGGACACCAACCTGGACATCACCAACCACTTTGGCCCCTCCATTATGATAGTGATCGCGCAGATCCTACCGATGGTCATATCGGCCTTTCAGATCGTCACCGACCGCAAGAACAGTAGCTTCGAGAGGGTGTTCGTGGCGGGGGTTAAACCCATCGAGTATTTCATCGCTCATATGGTCGAGAATTTTATGCAGTGCCTCACCCTGGTCGTTTTGTGTATGACCGTTTCATACGGGGTGTTTTCGGCCACTCAATTGGGCAGTTATGTGGAGATTTTTATCATGCTCCTTTTGCAAGGTGTTTTAGGCATGTCCATTGGGCTCATGGGTGCGCTCATATTGGCCGATGAGGTGTCTGTAGCGGTACGGTAGCACAGAATACTAAATATCTAACTTGTTTAATTTTAATCAAAATTGTTATATGATAATAGGTAAGCATTTCTGGTCTAATGCTTCCCCTATGGATAATGTCTGGCGTGTTGTGGCCACTGGAGGCTATCCCCACGTACTTCCGATACATATCTAATTTAAGTCCCATAACCATACCATTGGATTCATTACGTTCGGTGATACTAAGGGGCTGGACGTTCACTAAACCCCAAGTTTTCATGGGATACGTGATTAGCGGCGGTTATGCCCTTATAATTAGTGTTTTTAATATAATTTTGTTTCAGATATTTACGGACAAAGCATTTTCAGTAAATCTTTGGAATTTATAAAAATACAATAAATAAAAAGTTTTTTTTATAAGTGTACTAGTAATGCTAGTACTTATAAGGTAAAATTACAATAATGAATTACGGTATAATTATTTAATTGATTAATAAGTATAATGCCGTAAAATATTATAAAACACTTTCAATTTTGAAACTACACTGAAATATACTGTTTGTACTTAAGGAAATAATTTATTTAAAATTACTTTATTTTTAATTTATATTATTTGTCAAGTATTGCTGTTTGTTTGCGCAGATTTGTCACCAAAGTAAGGTGTTGAATATTTATAGTTTTTACATGTTTTTGTTATTTTAAAACTTATTACAAATAAATTATAAAAATATGACACATTTAACAAATTTTATGCGAATAAGGTTGCCCCATAATTTATATTTTTAATAATTACTTTTAAAGTATAACTTATAAATTACACATTATTTATAAAAATATTGTGTGAAATTAATAAATTCATCCAAATATAGAAAATAATAAGAAATAAAGTAGTCACTAATATTACAATAAGATTTTAGTGAATTATAACACAATTACTAACTTAATTCAAAAATAATTTATTATTTAAAACTTATTGAATAATCATTGCTTACTGTAAAATGGGATAAACTTTTTGATTATAATGTTTTGGAAAATAGGTTTATTGAATATTCAAAACTGGTTTATTGCCTCTCTCTCTCTCTCTCTCTCTCTCTCTCACACACTCACTCACTCACTCACTCACATTCACTTATACATAAATAAAAATTTTATTATTCTTTTTTTGTGTAAACTTTTATCCTTAATACTAATGACTTACTTGTTATGTAACAAAATCTAAACTCATTCCTAAGAGGTTTCAAACAGTTTTAGTGATAAAACATTTGCTACAAATAAATGTTTACAAATTAATTAATAAAATGATTATTTTTAATATTGCTTATCAAACACTCTGATATTAACTATTCACCGTGTTAACAACTTTTAAAATGCAAAGCTTATCTTATACGAGAAAATGCGATGATTTTGTTGATGATAATCATAATCGAGTTAAAGCTTATAATGATTGTAATGACAATTCATTAGCAGTGAGTGTAAGGGATGTTGTGTTTGATTATAGAAATAATGTGTCAATACTTAACAAACTATCGACACAAATACCAAAAGGTTAGTCTATTTAAGTCATTTTATTTAAATATTAGTATTGTTTGATCATTAACTAATTTTATTGTAATGATATTTTAATAATTTCTAATGATTAGTATATTTTCAATCAGAATTAGATATTTAGAGTGAAATACAGTATTATTATTTTTTGGCATTCATTTCAGCTAATTTAGCACTTTTTTAAATTTTAACATAATAACGTAAATTATTAATAAAATAACTATTATTAAGGCACTCATTTCAAACTTACATTTCATGAAAATCCAGAATATACTTAAAATAATTTACACAAATAGGTAAATGTCATTATTGATAGATATTCTCAATTTAAGTCTTAACTCAAGCTTCTTTAGTATTTATAATTACAATATGAAGATTGTTTGTTATTATTTATTATTCAACCAAGGTAAAATATTTGCATTATTGGGTCCGAATGGAATCGGGAAGACCACATTAGTTCGTGCCATATTAGGTCGACTCAAACTAAAATCCGGTTCAATCCGGGTTTTTGGTATAAGACCTGGTAGTCAAGAGTCAGATATTCCGGGTGCGGGCGTGGGATATATGCCTCAAGAGTTGGCACTCTTTGATGAGTTTACTATCGAAGAGATTCTCATTTATTACGGAATGTTATATCATATGAATCGTCAGGATATGAGAGATAGGATCACAGAATTGATACAAATATTGAATTTACCGGAAAAGTCACGACCTATTCATAGGCTAAGCGGTGGTCAACAGCGCCGGGTGTCGATCGCCATAACTATGATTCACAGACCGAGACTTATTATACTGGATGAGCCCACTGTGGGGGTCGACTCACTGCTCAGACATAAGATGTGGCAATATTTGGAGCAATTGTGTAAAACTAATGGTATAATACTGTACTAGTGTATTGACAACATGAAGAATATTCTGATCAAAAATAATTTTCAAAATCTATAATTTTAGGCCAAACAGTGATAATAACGACTCATTATATAGAGGAGGCCCGGAGTGCGGCTCAGGTGGCGTTCATGAGTGCCGGCACTATAATAAAACAGTCGGCGCCGCAGCTCTTGCTAAATGAATACCAGTGCCAAACACTTGAGGAGGTGTTCCTAAAGCTTGTTTGCGAACACAATACATATAAAGAAAACTCGTGTAAAACCGCAAAATATCCTAAACCTAATGCCAATATAAATGAAATATCAGACCAGCCTATGAATGTCAAAAGTGCTATAGACTTAACACGTGTCCGGGCCATGCTATGGAAGTACTACGTACTGACTAACCGGCGCCCACTATTTCTGTTCATGTTTTATGTCATACCAGTCGTAGCCCTCCTATCCATGGAGTTGACTGTTGGACAGACGCCATACAACATACCCGTCGGTGTATACAACGGCGATTCATACACAGGTCCTAAAGCCATGTCCCAGTTATACATCGACTCAATTAACTCTAAATACCTGGCGTTACACGACTTTCCGGATGCTGACAGTGCTGTTGATTCCGTCCGGAAAGGCGTTAACTTTATGTCCATTGAGTTTAATCGCAACTTCAGCGACGCCTTTGGCACCAGACTCTCAAACATACTGGAAATGTCTGACGAGGACTTGGATGACAGTCAAATCAGACTATACGTGGACATGTCCAACATAGCTCTGGTGCTATTTATATTCAAGCATATTTTTGATGGCTTTGAACAATTTTCCCGGACACTTAATGGCACAATTGGTTATGATCTCTACCGATATATGTCACCCGTATCCATTGAAACTCCAATTTATGGCAAAGTAGACCTGGATGTGTCCAGTCATTTTGCGCCCTCCATGATCATCGTACTAGCGCAGTGTTTGCCCATGGTCCTATCAGCCCTGCAAATTATCTACGATCGTAAAAATACGAGTTTAGAGCGGGTACTGGTAGCCGGTGTACGACCACTGGAGTTTTATCTGGCTCACATCATCCAAAACACGACACTGATTACGGTTCACGTGTTTAGCATAATGTTTATTACATTTAAATTGTTAGGAGTGACCTGTCTGGGCAGTTATGTCCACGTTTATGTATTACTCGTATCACAAGCATTGTTAGGTATGTCCATAGGATTAATGGGTGCTCTGGTACTCTCCGATGAAGTTTCCGTTGCCGTAAGTATTTATGAATTACATAAGACCTTGTTTATACCAGTAGTTTACTTAATATAGACTTTAAATAAATAAATTAGACATATTTGTAATAAAAATATATTATCATATTACTGTATTTTACTTATTAACTTTTATTAACTTTATTAACTTATTAATATAGTAAACTCTATAATTTATAGCATTTATTAAATATTTAAGTAATTATTTACAATAATAGGTGGGGTTATCAGGACTAATGTTGCCCCTATGGATAATGTCGGGTGTGTTGTGGCCCCTGGAGTCCATTCCCCACTATTTCCGATACATATCCGACTTGAGTCCCATAACACTGCCTTTGGATGCCTTACGCTCTATAATGTTCAGAGGCTGGACATACAACAGGACTACTGTACTCTACGGCTACTTAATTACTGTATTATATACTTTAATTACAAGTGCTTTCAATTGGGTTTTATTTGAGAAATTCTCGGATAAAGCCCTATCACTAAACATTTGGAACTTCAGTTATAAATGATTTATATTTATATTAGTTATAATACAGTTATATTTCTTATTGTGACTATATTTTTGTATTACAATCAATTTGAAGCCTCGATATATTTAAGAAAAACAGCAATTGATATGTATATTATCTGTAAATATATATATAACATAATTAATTAAATAAATGCTACTTAATAATTATAAAAATAAAATAATTTTATATATTCCTTATCCATACACACCTCATATAACCTGAATTCATTTATAATAAATAGGTGCCAGCAATAATAGCCAATTTTATGTTGGCCTACCCTCTCAATGAATGATTGTATCTTGGAAAACATAATTAACATTGTTTATTAATTATAAAATATTTTTTAAAAATAAATACAAACCTTTAATAAAATAACATCCGAAGGCTTATACATTGAATACTTAGCATAGACATCATGTAAAATGTCATGAATCCTATTTGCCTCGTTATTAACTAATGCAGCTGGTGTAAACAAAAGTATTTGATACATGGACATATAAACGATTGAAATGGAGCCAAATATTTGCATAACACTATCATCAGAGAATATTTGCATGGCATATGTGCCAGATAATCCTGATAAAACGAGCAAGTTAATAAACAGAAACTTTGACCACCTTTTGTTGGAAAAGTTAATATTCTTGAATACCCGGCTTATTCTCTTGATATTATCGACCGGATAGTACAGGGTTTGGTTGAGCTTATTATGGAAAGCATTTTTGCCACTATTTATATACAGCAACAGAATATTCTCGTATTTCAATAGTAGTCGCAAATTGTAAGCACTTAACCCAAAACAAACGGTTTGATAGATATAGATGTCGGCGCTGTACAGGCCGAACAGGCCATACACTAGACTCCAGGCCAGTCCCAGGACTGGTATCTCATTGTTTAAATAGGTTTTCATGAATAAGACAAATGTGGTTATAAAAAATAGTACCGGGAAAAATACTTTCACCACAGAATCGGTTACTATTCCCACAATTTTGGGGTTTATTAAGAGCTTATTATTCTTGAACATGACTGTCAATACGGTGGTGACAAAACGTTTCCGGTCATTTACGTACAGTGTGGGCTCATACAGTTTAGTCCAATAGTGTACAGCAAACAGACTGTTAGTACCGGCTATTGTGATAATGAATACAAAGTTCCAGTTTTGTTTCAGTTTCCAGTTGTAGGCAATGTCACCAATGAGCAAGCTAATAGCTTGGTTACCGATGTACAGGGAAAATAGTTCCCTGATTAGTAACATGTTGTAGAATATGATAATTACAGCAGGATGATATAATAGCCGGATGAATTTGTTTTTTGAATAACCTGTGTATTTGAGGCCAAACTCATGCGACTCGTGTCTCATCACTTCCAGACACATGTCTGTCCATTGGATGCGATCTTTAATTTTTTCCAACCGTTTTCGGTAATATTTAGCGTTCATTGCTCTCATAGTTTGTGTCAAAATATTATCTTTGTAAATTTTTTATAATGCAAATGAACATAGATGTAGGTTACGCGCACATTGAATGTAAACTATTTTTGTAACCTCTATTGTAATAAATGTATTGATTTTATTTATAACAAACAATACGTTTGATTAATAAATTTTGTATTTATTAATACTTGAAACTATATTATTAATGAGATATACGCACGAAGTTAATTAATAAACACAATCATAAATTATAGATATTATGTGAAAAAATATTTTATTTTGATATAAAATCAGTGAATAATTATTTTTCAAGCAATTATTAGCACATAATTTTTATGAAATATTGTAATAGTATGTATGAACGTATGAACTATAAACAATCATTTATAATAAGCATAAAAACGTTAAATAGTAATATACTTTATAAATGTGAACAATCATACATATTTTAAGCCTTAAGGGAATATTAAATAATATTATATTTTTATACCGATACATGTTATATAAAACAATTTTATTTACTGATCTCTCTCTCTCTCTCTCTCGACTCCAATTAATTACTGTAACAAACCATTAAGTAAATGAACACAACTTTGTTACCTCAGTATAAAAGCAATGCCAAACATTATATTACATGCGCCAGGATATGTCCGGACAGTATAGATAACGTTGTCCTTCATTTGTTTTCAGGTTTATATAATCAGGTAAGTATGATAACTGTTCATAAGGGTTAGTAGTATGCACGCAATGAATATCATAAGAATTGCGTTTCTTTGTGTCGTGTTGACACTCACTTTTGCAAATGGACCAATATAGCACATAGGAATATAGCAGGAAAACTATTAGCTCGTTATCAACATGAAAGAGGTTTTCTCGATAAGACGAGAACCTGGCTCAAATCCTACGATCCTCAAGATCCGCGACAGACTAGTGAATGGTTACTCCCTGAACAAAAACCGTGAGTAAAAATAATTTTTAAAAATTAAAAATTTGGAATTTTTATTTTCACCGCATTTCTCCTATACATTCTAGACCTAAAATACTTAAGTCAGAATTACGAGAGTGGAAATGCATGATGATCGTGGCATTGTGAAAGAAGCTGGTGCTAACCTACGAGATTTTAGCCGATGGTGTTACTGTAGTAGTTGAGGTTCAAAAATATTTTTGATACGCATATTGGTTGTTGAGAATTTAATTTTTAAGCTGCAAAATCTACCTCGCAAAACTTTGTGCGAAACCTAATATTAGCTCGTTATCAACGTGAAAGAGGTTTTCTCGATAAGATCATCGCGATCGACGAGACCTGGCTCAAATCCTACGATCCTCAAGATCCGCGACAGACTAGTGAATGGTTACTCCCTGAACAAAAACCGTGAGTAAAAATAATTTTTTAAAATTAAAAATTTGGAATTTTTATTTTCACCGCATTTCTCTCCTATACATTCTAGACCTAAAATACTTAAGTCAGAATTACGAGAGTGGAAATGCATGATGATCGTGGCATTGTGAAAGAAGCTGGTGCTAACCTACGAGATTTTAGCCGATGGTGTTACTGTAGATTGTCGCATACCTTAACTTCCTAGAACGCCGAGTGTTACCAGAGGTTACAAAAAAGAAATTTGGGCTTCCTATAATCTTGCATGACAACGCGAAACCTCATAAACATCGGTTGGTTAGGGAGTTTCTGCAAGATAAAGCCTTAGCTTAGATGGGAGGAACTTGACCACCCCTCATATAGCCCTGATATGTCACCGCCGGATATGGACGGAATCCAGCGCATTAAAGCCCCAAACAAGGGGAAGCAATTCCACTCGAGATGAGCTCATTCGGGATTATGATGCGACAATAAGAGGGATTTCGGAGCAACATACATTTTTGGGTATTACCATGCTCCCTGATCGGTGGAGAGCAATTCATTTGGGAAATGAGAAATATATTGAATGATTAATAAAATACGAAAATATCATTAAGATATCTTGTCGCATATCTAAGATATTCAGAAAAGAAATTGTCCGGACATATCCTGGCGCATGTAATACCATCTATTATACCATGAGACACATGTTTAGAGCCGACTTTCCCACACTACCCTGACACAAATCTATATTTAAAATAACATACTGTATAATACCGTATACTGTACCTTCCCGAATATAATTTTTTGCTTAAAATATGCTGGGACTTGTTAAAATATTGTTTTAATTAAATTATAAAATAGTTTATTGTATACAGTATTTAATAAAAGATTTAAAATAACATTTAGTTTTAAATTAATTAGATACTATATAATAATTTAATTATAAATTGCATTCAAATGATACACTAATTATGTAGACATACCTACAGACCTCTATCCATGGGTCGGGTACTACATAAATGGTCATAAGCCAAGACATTAGTTAATGCCTGACACCCTTAACTACGACAAACTCATAGGTGGCCAGGGCCAAATTGCTATGCAATGAGTTTTCACATTAATGGCACGTGGTCAGTTACCATGGTTTGTTTCACGAAAAATTATGTCCGATAGACGTAATGGTAACACCATGTTATAGGTATAGGCACTCAGACAAGCTGTTTGCCAATTTGTACAACACTATGTTATGGGTGTGAATGGTGTGAATAGGCCGCTGCATATATACCGTAAATACCGGTGAATACTGAATGTAGAGATTGACAATAGATGGCAAAGTGTCCCATAAACGAGTATTTTTATTAAAAAAATTTAAGACAAAGTAAGTAAAAAAAATTTAGTTAAAATAATATTACAGTATTATTATAATATATAATATTATGAACATTAAACACGAACCGCTAAAGTATACTGTATATAAAAATATTTCAAAAATTAAAAACTATTGTAATGATAGTAAATACTTATCATCATTTAAAAAAATATTATTTTGATTTATTATATAATTATTAGTAAATTATTTATTTGAAGGCATCCACAATCTTATCGGTTATAATGGTGGCCGCCATATCATATTGGGTCCCATTGTCGATTGGTTCTAGCAGTATATTTTCATTGTTGTCCTAGGACATAAATATAAATTGGTAATTTAGCTCTAATTTGTTAGCAATTAAGTAAGTTTTACAAAAAAAAGTAAGCGTGTTATAAATAAATTTTTAGACTAATTATAAAGTACCGTATGTTACAATTACTATTGCAACTAAATTACTATTTTGTTTTAACCTACAATAATATTTATAGTAACTGAAAAATACATTAAGAGCACAAAAACATAATATATTATATATGCCTTACATCGTTTGCGGGCAGGAAATACATGTCCCTGGACATATCCATAAAACCTTCGATATCTTCTACCGAATCAAAACGAAACGGTTTAATGAAAACCAATTTCCCGGTCTTTTTCGCCCATTTCTTTGCGATCGCGAGTTTCAGTCGATTTGAAAACTTCTTGCGTTTATTGAGTCTATACTCCGATAGCATACGAATCCGGGCTATCATTATGTGAAACATTTCCTCCATATCTGTGGCCACCAGTCCTTTGCCGGCGAAGTCCACGATCTCATTGATAATGAACTTCACTTTGGCCTTCATATCCGGTTCCTTTTTAATCTCGCGCTGTATTTTTTCCTTAAATGAGCCTGGTATCTCTTTCGACATGAATAGTAGCAACATCTCCAGCAAGTCATCATCGGAGTGACAGTCCTCCCGGAAACGGGAGTCGTTAATGACGTCAACGATAACCGCTTTGGCGACCATTTGTTTGCGCAACAGTTTCGAGCAAATGATGGCGCCATCGAAATACCCCAACACATCGTACGGCCCTTTAGGCTCCAGTCTCTTTAGCAACTTGACGTAATACTCGCTAACCTCTTTGAGCGAGGTCAGTTGGCTCACCTCCCGGGTCCAGTTAAGTCCGATCACGGGTCGGTTAATCTTTTGAGCAAGCTCCTCCATGCCGGCGAAGTTGACCTCAATGGGCGGCAGGATGTAAACGGGGACGCCTTTCTGCACGCTATTCAGTCGGGTATGCGTTTCGGTGGAAATCAAGAATTTCATTTTGAGTAAGTTAGCCCTGGCGCGTTTAACATCATCCAGGTGCTTCTTGATTTCGCCAATTCTGCCGGCCTCGTAGTCCTTTAACATACCGATCGTAATACTCTTGACCTGATTGAGAGTCACTTTCATATTCCACTCCCTCTCCAGTTCCTGCTGTAACTCTACGGCAAACATAGACTCGATGCCGATCTCACCCAGAGTTAGGTTGTTGGGGGTGTTGTCCGGATCAATGCCCAGTGCTCGCCATAGTTCCTTGATCATTCGCTTTTGTCGGCCACCCGATTCACCTTTAGTTTGGTCTACTTTAACCTGTCAGTTAGAGTTCATAATTAAAAATATAGAATTAAAATAAATATCTTGAGTCTTAATGATATAGTAAATTATAATTTATAAGTTGAATAAATTTTAATTGACTTACATATGATGTAACGATCGGCTGTTTAATTGTTAACAATTTGTCCAAAACATCGCAACACGAGTTGATTCGCTGTTTCCTAAACGACGCGAATTGTAACATTTGGTCACTTCCTTCAAACACTCCCACATCACCGACCGGTCCGTACTGTATGGCCAGTCCGTGTAAACCATCTCTTCGTCTTTGTTCGCAAATACGTTCACACATGGAGTTACCGAACGAGTAGTTAGACTGACCTCCATTTCCTTTACCACATGTGACCGATGAAAATACGACAAAATAATCCAATTTGTAGTCCAATTTTCGGGTCAATTGATCCAAATTCGTGAATATTTTATGTTTGGTATCAATAGACGAACAAAACTTATCAAACGTTAACTTCTCTATCAAACAGTCATTCAATTCAAGCGCCAAATGAAATACCCCTCTAAGTGATGAAAGCCATAGACATCACACCCGACGGCATAATCGGCCACTCGTTTGGTGAGATCGCCTGCGCTTACGCTGACGGATGTCTGTCCACAAGGGATGCTATGATTGTCGCCTACTTTAGAGGGTTTTTCACCGAAAACGATAAGAAAATACCGAAGGGTTTGATGGCAGTCGTGGGTCTCTCTAAGGCCGAGACAAAGAAATTATGTCCGAAAGGGGTTCACATTGCTTGTCATAACTCTAAAGATAATGTTGTTGTTTCCGGTAATTATATTTTAAAAATATTACATTTAAGTTAATAATTAAAAACCACTTTCAGGTCCCATAAAAGAAATGGAAGAAATGGTGAAAACATTGGAAGAAAAGGCAGTATTTGTTCGACGACTACAGAGCAGTGAAATCCCATATCATTCACAATATCTCATATCCAGTGCACAGCCTATGACTGACGCCATCAATAAATACATACCTAATCCTAAACTTCGGTCCAAGAAATGGATCTCTACTTCTGTCATGAATACCGACCAACAGGACCAATCTTTGAAATATGCTTCAGGAGAATATTTTGTATATAACCTAATGAACCCGGTTAATTTCTACGACAAGCTCAAGGAACTACCGACTGATGCCGTTATCCTAGAGATAGGTCCGCATTCTCTCTTCCAGAAAGTGGTGACCGAAACACTGGACAACTCGTCGTACGTATCGCTCATTAAAAAGGACTCAAACGATATAAATCTGGATATGTTTTTGTCCGGATTGGCAACACTTTACGAATTGGGTTACAATCTATCCATTGAAAGTCTGTACCCACGGGTAGAGTGGCCGGTTCCGAGGGGTACGCCGTCTATTGGGTCGATAATGAAATGGGATCACAGCCGACAATTCGGCCACAGACTATATCCATTGAAATACTGCCGTGCTACATCATCTGACATGCACTTTACCGTAGATGTGGCTCTCATGAAATCAGATACTTTCTACCTGGATCATGCTATTGACGGAAATGCCTTATTCCCAGCAACAGGTTATTTAATGTTAGCCTGGCGCAAATTGGCAGCCACGCTTGGCAAGTTGTGGTATCAGGTGCCAGTAGTGTTTGAAAACGTTCAATTAAAACGGGCTGTTTTTATAACTGAATCCGCGAAAACTGTGCTCACTGTTAAGTACTACCCCATCACAGGTACGTGTTACCAATTTTCCCTAATATTATTATTATTAATAAATATTTAATATAGCTTACTAAATTGGGATTTTAGTTCAAACTTGATTGTTATTTAGTTAGCGATCACCTAGTATTACAGCGTTTTATAATTTTTACGATTAGTTGATTTATTGTAACATTTCTATACCCACAGTGGAGTACTGTACATTGTTTATTAAATAATAGTACGGTATATTGAATTGTATAATACAGTAATAACATTGGCTTAATATTATAACTTACTTACTATATTATCAGTTTTATGTGCAATTTTTTATGAACTAATTTCCACCCCAAATCTCACTGACATGTCTGTCCCCTCTATAGACGAGTTTGTAGTGCTGGAGAACGACAACGTGTGTGTCGTGGGTCGGGTGCGATCACCAGATGACGAGGTATTACTGCAACAAAACAAGATATACGACAAACAGATCCACTCCCTGTCCGACAAGAAGTACACATTAGAGCGCAAAGACATCTACAAAGAGTTGGGTGTTTTGGGTCTCGATTACGGACCGGAGTTTCAACGACTGCGCAAAGTCGGCACAAATGACTTTAAAGAGATATACGGCGTAAACGAGTGGGCCGGGAGTTTCATCACATATATGGACGCACTCCTGCAGTCCATGGCATTTGCGGCGCCTTTCCGTAAACTAATGGTGCCGGTAATGATACGGGCGTTACGAGTCGACCCACGGGTGCTGTTCGACGGACTTCGCAAGAGTCGTAATATTCAAGAGCCGGTGGTTGAGTCCATTGAAGACTATGCCACTCAAGACGATATGGAGAGCTTGGCTAACCCATTAACAGCGGTCACCAAGTCTGAAGTGGATAGTGCCAAGCAAGATTTACCGGATGTCATGCAATTATATTCGGCTGAACTGAGCAAGCTACACGAGAGGTACGCCATATTCTCGGCTGATATGCCCTTTTATTTCAACGCCAAATCCAAACGACTGGTCACTCATGGCATCGAAGTGGAGGATATCATGGCTTTCCCTATACCGAGACGTTCGGATACCATGGATCTGGTGACCGACACGTATGAGTTTTACGCTAATGAAGACCTGGAGGCTATCGAGCCATTAGAAAGAAAATTGTTGACGGATTATGTGGAGGTGAGTTTTGTTTGAATTATTTTGTATATATTTTGTTTACATTTTTTTATGATATGTATCAGGTTTGCAAAGCTATGGCCGTTAAAGTGAAACAAATGGGTTTCAAAGAAATGAAATGTGATTTCAATTACCAGTCGATTAGCGATGAAGTGATAGAAGAGTATAGAAATGCAAACAATGAAAATCATGTATTGTTTAGAGTTATTGATAAAATACTGTCAGAATTGACGGATGAAAATAAAAATATCAAAACCGATGCCAATAGACATAAAGTATTGAACGAAATTTACGCGAATCCTGAATACGATTTGAGTAAAGACTTAATAAACCAGATCTCAAAGAATGAGCGATTGATCCGAACTCTTGTGGACATTGTTTCCGAAAACTATGTCACGACTAATGACTTGAAGATAACTGAAATCAACTTAAGTAGTGATGTATTGGCCAAAGATGTGGACCACTTGTTGACTCAATTCCGTATCATTCCCTTCAATACGGATTACAAACTGATTGTGAAGTCCAAAGAGAATGTGAACGAAGTCTTCAGAAATAATGCCACGGAATGGGACCCGAAGGACGACCTCTCACTAAAACCGTCACATTTGGTGATAATGAGAGACTCACCGGACTTATGGCACAAGGATTTGAACGGATTCATACAAGACATGTCCGACAATATACAGGAAAAGGGTTTCCTATTAACGGTATTCCGCTATAAGTTTACGGAACCGGAACTGGCGTTGAACTCATTGAACGGAAAGGCTGTTCTCAATAATACAGATCTTGAGAATCGTATTAAAAATTTTATTTCAATTAGCGATTCAATTGGTTTGAGATTAGTTGGCACTAAATACGACACAATAGGAACAGTAGCCCTATTATTCCGGCAAATCCTGGAAACACCTAAAATTCCCGATCAAACGGATGTAATAAACGTTACTTTGGATTACAATCAATGGTTTGGAGTATTGCAGGAAAAACTGATTACCGCTAAGGATGCGGACAATAAGACGGATAACATATGGTTGACAGCAAACACGTCGTCTATTAACGGCATAATAGGTCTCATGAATTGTGTCCGATTAGAACCGGGAGGAGAGAACAGCCGTTATATTTTCAATTACGACAACAATAGTGAGAAAATAGACTTTAATGTCAGCCCTTATAAGGAAATACTGGCCAACGATTTGGTGGCGAATGTGATAAGAGATGGAAAAGTGGGAACTTATCGACACTTAAAACTGCCTAAAGATTGCGATAAAGTGCTGACAAACGAGTATTACTTGAATTTGGGACAAACCAGAGACTTAGCGGGACTTCAATGGTATGACTTGAGGACTATAATCCCTCCTAAAGAACAGTACGACTTCGTGGGTAACAGAGTTACCAAACATAAGGTCAATATATACAGCACTGGTCTCTCATTTCACGACGTTATGCTCGCAACAGGTATGCTATTTGTGTGCAGTATTTCATTTAAAATAACAATATTATATGAAACCTTCAAAATTGCCTACAAATAGGTCGCATACCTCCCGGTCCTGAAGTCATATTCACTGACTGCACGATCGGCGGCGAGTTTGCCGGCCGTCGTATAGACACCGGTGAGAGGGTTATGGGTATGGAAGCGGGCCGTTGTTTCGCCACTTCTACCTACTGTTCCACACACGGCATGACTCACATACCGGAGCACTGGTCTATGGACGACGCTGTGTCGGTACTCAGTACATACAGTACCGCATATTATGGACTCATTCAAAAGGGTAGACTAAGGAAAGGTATGTATGCACTGAGATATGTAGTGATTATATGTGTTTACCAGAGATTATACACATTTAGGCGAAAGTATTTTAATTCATTCGGCGGCGGGAGGTGTGGGTCAGGTGGCCATCAATATCGCCAAACACTATGAGTGCGATATCTTTGTGACGGTCGGGACGGAAGACAAGAGAGTATTCATTGAGAGGGAGTATAACATACCGACGAACAGGATATTCAACTCCAGAGACATACTCTTCAAGAACCAGATAATGGAGATAACGGACGGTCGGGGCGTAGATGTGGTACTGAACTCACTGTCGGGCGAGAAACTGGATGCGAGCTACGAGTGTGTGGCTAACCATGGTCGCTTCATAGAAATGGGCAAATTTGACATGTTGCAAAATAAGAAGCTGGGTATGTTTGACTTCATACGGAGTGTCAACTTTATACCCGTGGCTATCGATCTCGTACTCGTCGATGACATCGGCTTTTTGCCGGAGTTTTATGAATGGGTTCACAAAAACTGTGGGCCCGGAGGGTGTGTCCGACCCATCAATCAGACAACTTTCAAGGCTACCGACGCTGAAAAGGCCTTCCGGTATATGACAACCGGTAAACACACGGGAAAAATCATATTGAAGATGAGGGAAGAGGAGACCGATAGGCGTCCCCTTAAAGCACACAAACCTTTGCCCGAAATTAAGGCTCAGGCGAAGACATACTTCGATCCAAACAAAGTCTATATAGTCACCGGAGGGTTGGGTGGGTTTGGGATGGAACTCATACCATGGATGCAATACTACGGCGCCCGTAGGTTTGTGGTCACCTCGAGGTCCGGCGTGAAGACTGATTACCAGAAGTTTGTGTTCAACCGATTCCGAGAAGTCTGGAAGGATTACAAGTTTTTTGAGTCCCAATGGATTGTCTCGACTGCCGATGGGTTTACTATTGAAGGCACACAACAACTGTTAAAAGAGGCTCAAGAGTTGGGACCCATTGGAGGGGTATTTCATTTGGCGCTTGAATTGAATGACTGTTTGATAGAGAAGTTAACGTTTGATAAGTTTTGTTCGTCTATTGATACCAAACATAAGAT